TTTTTCTCAATCTTTCTCTGTCTCTTTCTTTCTTTCTCTTTCTCTCTTTCTCTCCTTCTCTTGCTTTCTCTTTCTTTCTCTCTACATCTCTCTTTCTCCCTTTGCTTTCTTTCTTTCACCCTCTTTCTCCATCTCTCTTTTTGTATTTGTATTTGGGACCAGACCATCATTAAGCACAGAGGTTGTTAATTAAATTTTCCTGTGACTGAATTTTTACAACATTGCTTCCCATTGGTCATTAAACAAATCTCGCTTCTACCATTCACTTTGATAGTTGGAAATCCCCGGGAAGGTTAAAAAAAAATGAGGACCACGAGACCCCTATAATGCTGAAACGGTCATAAATGCATGCCAAATTGGGATAATATGACTGCGGAGACATAAGTCATAAGTGGTCATAAGTGCGAGACCCAGTCAACTTTTTTCCAGCGCTGTCATAACTTTGAAGAGTTGTAAGAAAAGGACTACCTGTATAGATTACATTTGTTTATTAAAGAACAGGGTATTTATATGAATGTAGTAACCGATAACCCGCCATTCCCCAGGTATTTATTTATTGAGGAAAAATATCCGGACCAAACGTAATTTGTAATGTTGGATTTTCCCTCTTACCAGAGGGACCCCCCTTGTGGAGTACTGTGAAGCCGTTACCACGGCAACTCCACTTTCGCCGCACAGTAGAAATCCATTTTACGGCGGTACAATAGAAGTCATTTTAAGGCACAACAGGCTGTATCTTAACAGGATGCACACCCTAAGGGGTGTTAGGGGTGTCTTACCCCCCACAGCATTGTATAGATTGTAATTGACTTTAAAATACTTCAGAATAAGATTTAACATTTTTACAAAATTCTATCCTACCCAGGTTTGGCGTACGCGTTATTAGTTGCCGTTCCAATTGGTTATGGACTCTATTCTGCATTTTTCCCCATCTTGACGTATTTCTTCTTAGGAACATCAAGACACATCTCTGTTGGTAACTGAGTTTTATTTTAATATCAGACATATATATATATATTTTTAGAAGGCTATTTGTTATTTGATTGCACAATGTTTTCAGTGCAATCAGCTTGCTTTAATAGACTTTTGTGCGCAGTGTGTTTGGGCCGTATTTAAATTCTCCATTCTGCTCCATGTTTTTCCACACATAATAGCTGGGAATAACCTCCACATATGAGATGGGCCTCATATACTTTTACTATTGGCGGAACGCAGCTATTATTAGCAGACGTTACTTAGATCAAATGCAGTATGTTTTGTGGTTAAATGCCATCAGCAGCACAATAATAACAAGGAATCTCCAGCCTTAGACTAAAAGCTTTAATACTTGTTCGAGTCCCCACCTCAGCTCCGTTCCACCACGCATGCACTTGTACGTCCTGCCAGCCAGCCAGGGTCTCTTTCGTGCATGCGTGGGGCGCATGTGGGAGACATAGGGGGTGGGGATGCAGTACATCCCCCCGTGGCCCATTTTTGTTCCCAGAAGGCTGCAGGGTGGGCCCTCGTGGCCCGGTTTGCTCTCAGGAGGCCTACCAGGCCCAAAATGATATATATATATTTCCTTCCAACAGGACCTTTCCCTGTAGTCAGTTTAATGGTGGGCTCCGTAGTACTGAGCATGGCCCCAGATGAAAAATTCCTCCTGGCGAACAGTAACGTGACGGGAATGAATGGGACGGCTGGGATAGACATCGCTTCCAGAGATGCCCAACGGGTGCTCATTTCCAGCACTGTCACCTTCCTGGTTGGCATCATCCAGGTAATAAAATCAGGAGAAGCCGTTCTCAAAATATTGCTGCTTCTTTAACTGGGAAAAATGTTCTCTTTTGTCTTTAAAGTTTCAGTTTCTGCATAACCTATCTATAGTTTTGGATAACTGGTGTTCTATAATGCATTGGTAAGACCCCCCACCCAGTCAGCCGTGCCCACAGAGTCGGCCAGCCCCGTGAGTGGTGTCAAGCTGGCCACCCCCACCCAGTCAGCCACACCCACAGAGTCGGCCATGCCCCGTGAGTGGCGTCAAGCTGGCCACCCCCACCCAATCAGCGAAGCCCACAAAGTCGCCATGCCCACCCCCCAAGGTCAACCACAGTTCTGGATGGTATCCAATTCTGGTTGCCACAATACAAAAAAATATGTTGAGACCCAGGGGTGGTAGTCGCCTTCTTTCCCTACCAGTTCACTAACTTGCACACGCCCCATCCACACATGCGCTCGGCCTTCCAGAGGTGTCAAACTCAAGGCTCATGGGCCAGATCCAGATGTGGTTGGATCTAGCCCATGGGGCCATCCTGGAAAATGTAAGGGGCTGGTCCGCGTCGCTTAAATCCTATCCACGTTGCTTTGGCTAGGTCTACGCAATGCAAAGAGGAAGGCATGCCAGCAGTTTTAGGAGTGGCGTCAAGCTGGCCACCCCCACCCAGTCAGCCACGCCCACAGAGTTGGCCATGCCCTATGAATGGCGTCAAGCTGGCCACCCCCACCCACAGCCATGCCCACAGAGTTGGCCATGCCCCATGAGTGGCATCAAGCTGGCCACCCCCACCCAATCAGCCACGCCCACAAAGTCGGCCATGCCCGTCCAGCCCCCCAAGGTCAACCACAGCTCTGATGCGGCCCACAATGCAATTGACTTTGACGTCCTTGTTTTAATCTAGCCTAATGAACAGAAGGATTAGCAGTGACATAACAGTCTTGTGGTATAGTGAGTCAACATTATTGAGGACTAGGGGCATGACATTGTTCGCTTGAAGGGCTATCACAGGGAAGAGGGGGTCCGTTTATTCTCCAAAATACCTTAGAGGAGGTAAAGAAGTAACAAAGGAAAGATTATGAAAGAAAGCTTCCTTTTTTTAAAAAAAAATAATTTTTATTAAACATTATCACCATCTCCTTGATTTTTTTTTAAGTGAGTCCTCTTCAGGTACTTCCAGTTGTCTCCTACTTATGGGAGACAATTCTATGAACATCTGAAAACAGGCTGGAAGGGAGATTTTGCATTTTTGAAGCCTAGATACGGGGAATAATTTAAATATTGAGTGGAATCAAGCGGTAAAGCCTCTTTTGATTACAGTTTATCATTTGGTCGGCAGATCTCAGTTGACAAGAGGTTCCACAGTGGCGGGAAATTTCTCCTGATCCCTTATCAACGAACAAGGAAATGGTGGGCGGGATATAAAAGTGATGTTAATGCTTTCTATAAAAAGGGGAAATCCTGATTACTTTAAAAGACAATAGCGCTAAGCCTGGAGAATTCTTCAGTGGCTCTTGTGGATTCCCACAAAAATCGGTTGCATCCCTTTCTTGAGCAACGTATTCAATGAAATTGTCCCTGTTCAGCGCCACGAAGTTTTAGATTCAGCTGCTATTCATCCAGTGTCATCCCAAAGCTTTATTTTTTTTTTCAGGAGGCAACTGGAGTTCCTTGTTTTTTTCCTTGAAGATGTTTCGCTTCTCATCCAAGAAGCTTCTTCAGCTCTGACTGGATGGTGGGGAATGGAAGGATTTATACTCCTTGAAAACAGTGATGTGCGGTGAGGTTTATGGCTGGTGAGGCACTGACACAGTGGTGGGTTTCACATTTTTTTTAGACTTGTGGACATCCACAGTGACTCTGGCAGCAACTAGCTCAGCCTGACCTCAGCTCTTGACTTTTTCCTTTTACATTTTTCTTTTCCTTTTCATGATGACAGTGGTGAGGCTCTGCCTCCCCTGACTGCACATCCCTGCTTGCAAACAACTGGCCATCTTTCTCCAGTCCTTTCAGCAATTCCAAGAAGTCTCCACACCCATTTGCACCACTCAGGTGACCCTGAGGACATAGATAAATCTCCAAGTGGCTTCAATGATCCACTAAAAGGATGCAGATGACCAGCTGTCAGCAAGGAGTATAAATCCTTCCAGTCCCCACCATCCAGTCAGAGCTGAAGAAGCTTCTTGGCTGAGGAGCGAAACGTCTTCAAGGAAAAATTAAAAAAAAATCCAGTTGCCTCTTGAAAAAAGCACCATTGGGGCAACCATGGCTTGGATGATTGAGAATCTCTCTCCAGGGATGAGATTTGGTTATAGGTATAAGTAGCAAATCCTTCTCTGAATTATAGGTCACCTAATTCCCTACTTTTTAATAATCAAACCATTGCATCTAATCATTATAAATCTCTGGACTCTACATTTGAAATGCTGCATCTATTTCTGGCCCTCAAGATACAAAAAGGATTCAGATTCAGATTTAGTTTATTTGTATGCTGCCCTTCTCCGGGAGGGACTCAGAGCGGCGAACAACTCTGAAGGGGAAAAAGGGGACACAGACCACAATACACGTAATTAAAATACACAAAAGTCATACAGCCATAAAAGTCGAGAGGGGAAGGGAACNGAGGAGGCCGACCCTGTGCGATCTAATGGGTCTTTGGGAGGTAATTGGCAGCAGGCGGTCTCTCAAGTACCCAGGTCCAAAGGGAAATGTAGCAATGCATCTCCTGTTTCCCACCTTGTGTTAACCATGTTAGACTAATCAAATAAAAGAAAAAGTAACATAATTAACAAGGTGATGTGCTTAATTTGTGTTTAGGCATGCAATTCTCTAATACACCACCCCCAATTCCATTTTTCCACTGCACAAATACACGAGGCCCTTAGAGCCAACCTGTTAGAAAGGGCGCTCGGGAACTGTGTATGAGCTGCTCTGACCTCTTCACCAGGCTACAATGTACTTGTAGTAAATAAGCTCTTCTAATTCTATTTATCTTCATTTGCAAACACAGCCGGAGCTACCAAGCAGCAGGATAAACAATATGCTTCAAGCACCATGGGGAAAGAGAAGCAGATGAATGAACAAACTCAGGCTTAGTGGTGGGTAGTAAGTAATTTCTATTATGAAGAAAGACTTCAAAGGTACTGGCCACAAGCTGTGCTTCAAGTTGCAAAATAACCTGGGTTTGCATTTTTTTCCAGTCTCTTGTCAAATATCTTTGGGGGGGGGGGAGAGAGAGATAGCTTCTCAAAGAATGGATTTATTCTAATTAGCTACAACACAAAAATTAAGTGAACTGAATTATGACATTTCTGGAGCACATTTTTGCTTTGCAAACTTCTTGAATGCATATCTACTAAGCATTTAATACACATGGAAAAAAATATAAAGAATAACAAGTAGCAGACAGCGTATTAATAAAACATGAAATTTAGTTTTCACACACGATTTGTCTGCTCTGGCATTTTCTGAAAGGCTTTATAATAGCAAATCTGAATTTGAATGATTTCCTCACATATTTTCCCCCTGACCTTTCAGTTTTCATTGTTTTCCAATGAACCGTGAAACTTGAGTACAACATTTTCTGACAATCATTCCCAAATACATTTATCTAGCAGGGTCTCCAAGAATAATCATTGCTATGATGTTACCTACATCAAGAAAGACACCAGTTTGGATATCTTTCTCTCTGACTAGAATAGAATAACAGAGTTGGAAAGGACCTTTGTGGTCTTCTAATCCAACCCCCTGCTTAGGCAGGAAACCCTATACCACTTCAGACAACTGGTTGTCTAATCTC